ACTCTTTCCACACTAATGAATAAGGCAGGAGTTCAGTGGGAATATCCAAAATACTCTGAAGCTTTTAATTGATAATGAAAGCAAATATTAATGATGCTATCATATAAAAAGGTAAATGCCACCTTGAGAAAATCCAAAGTCACAGCAATTGCTGTTTTTCTTCTGTTCAACATTAGTCAATGTGATTTCAAAATACTTTATTTCATGGCAACGTTTAAAAGCCATCACTACCAGTAAAACAAAGAAAAACTTAGAAAAAAATCAGATAAATGAAATAGATATCTACATTCTGTAGTGTAGGAATTCTATATATACCCTATAGAACAGAAATGTAACTTTCTTATAGAAGAGTATAAGAAAGAAATTTATGTGTTTTATATATATACATATGTATATACACAGTAACTTGATTCTCTTGCCTTGCAAATACATAAAATCCAGTAAAATGTAATTGGACTCTCAGCTTTAATTTGCATTATAACCACATATGATATTTTATAGAAATATAAATGACTAGAAGTTGCAATAATGTGATGAATCAAGTACATTCAGAATGATTGCTAATTAAAATGGTGTCAGGAACCAACAGGATAATTAAAAATTTAAATGGAAAAATATTAAGTACTTACTTTCTCAGAAAGTAAAATATCTCCTCTAGCTATGGGAAGAAATAAAGAACTAGGTTAGCTACTGAAGAAGACTAAATAAACATTTTTACTGAAAGATAATACTGAAAGAGGTACCAAAGTATTCAGAACAATTTATAAATACACAACTTAAAAATTTATTAACAGTCTAGAAATATGCAAACCAACTTACACAGAAAGTGGAAAAAACACTAGATAAACGTATAAACAGGATGATTTTTAAACACTGATTTCAGTTAGTATTACAATTAAAATACTTAACTGTTGTTTTTATTAAAACATGAGTAAACCACAACATTCCAGATGTTTTTATGTACGTATTCTGCATGTGTCCAAATTTGTCACACTCAGAATTTGACAAGAAATATATATTTTTTTAATTGAAGATATTAAATCCAAACTTATAATTTAAAGACAGATTTTTTAGTAGACTTTCTAAATGGATGTTACCATAAAACTGTAACTTTTCATGTCCTGAGTAACACGGTATTGGGTGGAAAAAAAAAATACATTCCCAGTCTGCACTTAACATGGCATCTGCATACACAAATGTCTGTATGAATATTTTCCATCTTGGAACTCTATCCATTTTTAAGAAGCAAAGTTCAGCATAGTTTTTTTTGTAAATTATAAAATTCCTAAGGGTTTTATCGTATCGCATGTATTTGCTTCTAAAGAAGGGCACTTCTGAAAACAGGAGACAATGAAGTGGGGTAAGATAGTCACATATCTCTGCAATAAATATTTTAGTAGAAGTCAGCACAAACTGAAAAAACTTTAGAGTCTTTTTAGAGATTCCAAAAGCCACAAATGGTTTTAACTGCAATGTATATAAAAAATGTTATTCATAATTGTATTTATATATATATTTACTGACTGGGTTTTTTTCAGTGTGTTGGTCAGCAGTCAAAGTAGGAGTTCCAGAACAATGAAGACCTTCTCTTCAGGCCCACATAGTGACTGGCTGTGCTGATACTCTTCTCTCTTCTAAAGTGTGCAGAGCACACTTTAAAATGTCAGTGGAAGTTCTGCTAGAGAAGAGGCTGTAGATGACATTTGCTATGTGGCCCTGAGATTAATATTTTGCCCTAAAATAATCCCTTCTGTAAATTTGGGGGTTTTTTACCACCACAACACCAACTTCTTTTTGTTTGTTTTTTAAGAAATTAAACCTCTAAGATAATGTTGAAGAATGCTGTTTGCAAAGAGATTGCTTGTTATGCTGTATTGTGTTTAAATACCAACATAAAACATTGGCTGAACAAAAACTGATGGTAGTAGAAATATTCTGTGAAAGATCCTCACTCCTTCTCTTTTCTGATCTAAGCTTCTATTACACAGCACGGACTAAATCAGACCAGTCTTAGAGTAGAATCTAAATCATGTCATTCCACATGCACAGCTGTTTCTGTAGAAGACGGTATTTCACTCTATGATAATGGATTGATTGTAGTTGACTAGAAGTCTTATTAATCTCCAGAAGTCCTGAGGAAGAGGTAACAGTAACCTATAACTGTGCAGCTTCATTAAATAAAAATTGCGTATAAAATGACAGATATAAAAAGAATTTACTGTTTCAATCTCTTTGCTACTGTTATTCTTGAAGTATAAACTATTTTGAAAGGCAATCTTAACTTTCTTATTTTCCTGCTTATACAAGCGTGAACTAAGTGCTTCACTGTGCAAAATTAGTTTCTGTACCAAAATTTCTAACAAAATGTTTTCTGTTTTCTGTTTGTTTCTCCTTCCTGTCAGCTTGGTAGCCACAAAAGAAACAGACAGTGCAAGATCTCGCAGCATGCCAATGTCGCCATCTGATTTCCTGGATAAGCTAATGGGGAGGATGTCAGGCTACGACGCAAGGATCAGACCAAACTTCAAAGGTAATTTCAAACCTAAATTTATCAGGATACTAGTATTTCTTCTCACACAAATGCAGTTTCTGGAACAAAGTTGAAAACGAAAAAATACACTCACTGAAAATAAAAATTAAAAAAGAAAAAAAAGTGCCTTATTTTGTATGACAGTTCATTTTGGTAGCGATATAATCTATTCCTGTCACTTTCACAGCTGCCCAAGCACAGAACTTCTGAAAGTTCAGCTTACCACTAGGGTTTGTGTTGTTGTGTTTGGTTTTTTCCTTTCTTTTCTAGAATGTTTGTTAATAGATTTGAATTCCCATTTTGGACTACCACAGCCTAAAGCACTCCATAAAGTTCAGTGAAACAGAGGCTAAATCCTCATAACTGCTTGATCCTAACTAAAAGTAAGTGTGTGTTAGCAATATGACCATTAGAATAACTCCCAAGAGAGCTTATCTTAGTTACTAAATCTATCACCAAATTCAGCTCCTCTCTCCTGTGCCTGTTATGCTTTGAAATGATAAAAGGGACCACCTTTCCTCTTCTTCTTTTCCCTGTTTGCTGTTCTCCAGTGAAACAGCAGGTCCTCAATACCTGCAATTGTCTCTTGGTATGGACCATTTATCCACTTATCACAAAGGAGATTCAAACAAGACAAATGAGATTCAAAGAAGACTGGAAGTCTAAAGTTTGCAAATGCAAGGATTACATCTTCCAAGAGTTTTAGCACAAGCCACTTTATCCAGCCTCAGGCATGCTAAACTAGAGTATTTAATGAAGGATTATACAAATGATATTATTGTACAAATATACAAACTATTGTACAGACAAATACCACCCATTCTAACTTTTGGAGTCTGGGAAGTAAAGGTAAATTTGACTGCTGTTTTTCTAGAATGAAAAAAGTTCCAGAAATATAGTGAAACTGTATTAAACTCCATTTTTGAATAATAATATCAAGTTATCAGTCTTTAAACCCTCCAGAATATTAATATTTTAAAATAATATTGTCATTAAAAGTTATGTTATTCTTTCTTTGTCTTGTGCCTCCTCCTATGCCTATCTTCCTGAGTCCAAGAAATCTTTTTAGCTCTAACATTTCACTATAAGGCAGGTTTTATTTCATGTTTACAGGAAAATTTTTCCTTCAAGCAGACAGACCTTCCTCCTCTAAGTCATCTGTCACTGCCATTCCATCTTAATTCTATTCAGAACAAAAGTTTATAATTTTTTGACATCTTTAAGTCTCAGAAACTTAAATGGTTATGACTCTAAAGCCATTTCCATTTGTTGGTTTTGACAGAATTTACCCAGACTGATTCATAAGGACCAAGTAGTTTGTCAAATTTCGTCCTCACCAGTAAGACAAAAACAGCTGGTGCTGCTGTGTATGTAAACTTATTACTCAGGGTTTCCTGCAGCAGGAAATGCTTTACTTCTAATAAGTTAGCAGTGCTGATATTTCCCAGAAAATTATAAATATGCACTGGAAATTCAAACACATCACTGAAAGATTTACAGCAGTGATCAATATCGCTAATGATCATGCACTGTAAGACCCTTGGCCTTTCCTTACCAGAACTACTTTGAAGAATGTTCTAGTGTCTGACTTCCTGGAGAGTTAATGTGTCAAACATTTCCAAAGTAATACAAAATGCTGTATTTCTAAAATTAATTTCTTATTTGAATGATAGCTCAAGTTATTTTTGGTCCCTATTAATCTTAACTCTGCTTATTGCCACATTATGCTCTAGCTTGCAAACGGCAGGTTCAACCTAAAGTAAAGCTGTGTTGGGCAAAAGAAGACCTCAAGCAAAGCCTAAGTACTGCAGGTTTTCTTCAGTTGATTTGGGGATGGCATTTTAGAGTTTGTCATGGACACCACGAAATTTCAACCTTCTGATGGGGCTACAGTAAAAAACAGGCAGATGGTTTAGAGGTTAGCAAATTCAAGACAGTATTTCTTGAAAGCATAATTCAAAAGACTTAGGGACTTGTTTTGTAACTATTGAAATTTAAAGAGACAAAATCTAATTTGACATTGTTCTTTTTCAAAAAGTGCATTCTAAATCTTCTAGACAGCTATGTAATTTGAACAAATCTGCACAGAATGATTCAGATCTATCAGTAAGAATAAATATCTCCTGTAAGTGATTTTGCCACGTTCTGGTTAGTTTTTAGTCCTAAAACAAGTACTGCAGCTTAATGTCTTTTTTAATCTGGCAACAGTCTTAAGAAATCAAAATGAGTACTCCCAAGAGAACTCAGATAACTAGTTAAAATAATTTGTTCTTCCAATAAAATTCCTATGTAGACAAAATTTGTAGTCATAATTAATCTTGGTCAAAAACACATTATATATTTTGTCTGAGTGTTCGGTGTTTGGATAAGGCATCCTGCATACCTGTTCATGGTAGAAATAACAGAGAAGACTGTGGGCATTTCTTTTTAGTTACAGAATAAACTAAAGACTCTTGTAAAGTCATTGTTCCAGTTGCAAAATATTCTTATTTCCAGTATGTCAAACCTATAGCAAGGGGCTATTCTTACTCAGCTGTTATATATCCCAGACTATATCTGTTCACTGCCTTTCAAATTTGGACACAACTATGTAATCCATGTGTAAAAATTGTCATGGCCTCAAGATGCTCTGAATTAACTTCGTACAGAAAATACATTATATGTTTTAATCTATACAGCCCAGATTGCATCATTGAAAACAATTTATTAAGGTGGAAATTTGGGGATTTATGCGGAAAAACGTCAAGTGTTCCTTGCTCTCATACTGCCAAAAAGTATTCAGCAGTCATAAATGTAGGAACTCCTTAACCTAGGACTTAGCTGAACTTCTTTAACCAGGATTCAATATGGTTAAATGTTCTGGTCATTTCTGGGAGTTCTTTATACTATTGATCTTCCCGATATTTTATGACAATAAAATTTCGTGTTTTGGAGTAGTGAAAAGAACAAATTTTTGTTGCTTTGAATTTGATGACTATTTTTCTGATCTTATTGCCACATGGTATATTGAGAAATAGAGGAAAAGGATTCCTTCCTTTTGATCTTTACAGATTTGCATACCTATATATCACTCCTACAGCATCCCTTTTCCAATGTGAAGAGTCCTGTTCAACAGAATCTGGTTTTGTGTGGCAGCATTTAATAGAATTTGTGATCCTTGTTTGGCTTCTTGAAAACTCTTCTCCCTAATATATCCTTTTGATGTGAACAGAGGAGACGTTCAAGATGGAAGTTCATTATCTACTTGAGTGCTAGTCCACTTTTTAAAATGTATTTCTTTGCATTCTCCCATCTTTATTGTTACCAGAGCATACTTCCAGAGAATCATTCAAATTACTCTAGAATCTATTTCTTCTGTGAAAACCATTTGGAGCCCATCAGTAGGATTCTTTGCCATTTGACTGATACAGAATTTCGTCAAATATTTTATTGTTTGATAGCTCAGTATTTTGTAATTTTTCTGCACCTCCTTGCAGTTGTCTTTGTATACAACCACCCTAAATTTTCTTATAACAGAGGAAAATTTTATTGTTATGTCTTCTTTTCTAGGTCATTAATATTGAAAGATTCAGTGTAGAGCTGTGGGGGAACTCACCAGCAATCACCTCATGTTTTGAAAAATGACTATTTACTCATAGAACCATTTTGGTTGGAAAAGACCTTTCAGATCATCGAGTCCAATCGTCAATCTAGCACTGCCAAGTCTACCACCAAACCATGTCCCTGAGCATCAAATCTACACATCTTTTAAATACTTCCAGGGATGGTGACTCAACCACTTCCCTGGGCAGCCTGTTCCAATCCCTGACAACCTTTTCAGTAAAGAAAGTTTTCCTAATATCCAACCTAATCCTCCCCCAGCACCACTTGAGACCAGCTCTTCTTGTTCTCTCACTTGTTAGCTTGGAGAAGAAACTAGCCCCCACCCTGCTACAACCTCCTTTCAGGTAGCTGTAGAGAACAATGAAATGTAGAGGACAATAATCCTAACACTAAATAACTTGAAAGCAAAAGGGGTATGAGAGAACTGTTTCTTATTTCATCAAGACTAATATTCTTAAAAAGCCTTTGACAAAAGATCATGTTGAAAAGTTTTTGAAACTCCTAATAAAATATTTTAAACATTTAAGTAAATTCGATAGCCTTTGTCCACATGCTTCTCAGCTCTTTCAGAGAGCTTCAGTAGATCTGAAGTGTTATTTCAGCCAAAACAGTATTAATCCATCTCTCTGAATCAGAACAGTTCTCATCATTTCTACCACTCTGGGTGGTAGAGTGGTAAGGTTTACAGCGATAAAGTTCATTGTCAGTATCATCCACCATTATAACTGAAGTTTGTTTTTTAATTAAAGTTATACTTGCTAGCCACGGTGTGCATTTCCACTGATGAAAAAACTGGCATAGCTGACTCACAGTAATTCATATTTCTACAATTTTGCAAAGATTTTTATGAAGTCTGGCTTGATATCACCTTAGCCTGTCATTTTGATTCTGTTGGCTTAGTTTGAAATGTCTTCTACATATACATAGTCCTCATACAAATCTTCCATCACAATGGCTCCAGTTTGACAGAGCTAGCAACTGGAGACAAATGATGCTAAAAAGCTTCATTTGGTTTCTTCTGCTCTGACCTTCACTTTCATAGATACTTTTATATCTTAATCATCTTCTCTCAACTTCACCTTCCAGATCTTGGCAGGATTCTATTTTTAACACCTTGCAGATAGCCATCATTGTTAGCTTTTCTGTCTCTAGTGAGTTTCAGCTCTGTGGTTTTTTTCTGTCTGTCTTTAATCAGTGTTCAGCTTGGCTGAGTTCCTGTGTTTGAATGACTTCCAGATTTAACCACTTCATTTATGTTTCATTTTCACCACATTTTTGGAAGTCCATTTTTACTCTCAGCATAGTATCTTTAAGTAAACCTTAAACCATTTGCAAAGTGCTTTTAGCTTCTCCTTTTTTTTTTTTTTTAACTAGCTATTTTTTGTAATATTGCTTTTGAAATTAAGCATCAGAGTTGCAGTGATTTAGGGTTTTCTCTTTATAAAAGCAACTATGTTGATACAGCAAAGTTGTGCTTTAAAACATAGTACTATTTTAAACAATACAGTATCTTACCATATTTTAAATTATGACAAGTACTACAATTTGAAAGTGTTTGAAAGGATAGCTGCCTGCAAATTATCTAACAAAGCCAGGAAGTACAATTTTCTCCCTGACAGTTTTTAGTTGCTCTGCTTTTGTTCTTTCCCCATGCTTTTCCTTTTTCCCTTGCTCCTTTTCAGGAGTTGTGAATGTTAAGCTTTTACTGATTTATAAGAAGTAGTGGATAAACTCAACAACTCTAAGCAATTAACCAAGTATCAAAGTTAAAATAGTGTCAAAGTGACTACAGAGTGATATCTCCTTACCTGAGAATTCTGCTCCATAGCTGCAGTCCTGTGTATTTTAATTATTCAATTATAATCATTGAAGTACATGCGGTGATTTTTTGTTGCAATTGACATACAGTACTTCAAAACAATTATTGCCACAGGGGGAAGAAAAAAAAAAAAAAAAAAAAAAAAAGCTGGATGTTCAGATCCTTCAAGTATTTAGTATCAAGTTCATTGGTCACATATATATTTTGCTAGCAGCAAACCACTAGCAGTGACAGAGCAGCTTCTAACTTCAGTGACACTAAATAAGAAATTCTACACAAGGATTTGTAAGATCAGTCCTCAAATTCTAGATAAAGATCTTTCATTATTACTGACTGTTTACAACTGTAAAAATAAATCAGATTCTCCAATTCAAAACTGGATTCTTGATATAAGAATATCAAGGTAGCAGGAGGGTGACATAAAACCTTTGAAATGGAAAAGCCTGTTTTCTGCTGTACACAGACTGAAATTGGTAAGAAATAATGGAGAAATGAGCATGCTGCGCCATAATGTCATTTTTAAAGAGACTGACAGATACATAATTTAAAACCTTTTCCATTAAAAGACAATTCATCATTCAGTTATCATAATGACTACTCTGCCACTACTGATGCTTCACAAATGCAAGATAAGGCAGAGCAACAGTTGACTGAAGACCCATGGTAACAGAAAACTAATTTAACATGGATTCTTAAACAATTTGTGGATTTAAGAGAAATGAACATAGAATCTAAGTAATTCTTTCTTATCCACGTTTGTTTCTGTAAGCAGTAGAGATAACAGCAGCAATAATGTATTTCTGTTTCCAGTGGTGACAAATCACATTAAAGATAATAGCTGCCTTGAGTGAAAGAGGTCGCTTTTTCCCCTAATTGTTCTAAGAAGTGACATACGTTTCTCCCTGAAAAACCCATTAAAAAAAACAACTATATCTTTCAAATAAGATGTTGATTTTTTTGCATATAATAATCTGTGCAACTTTATAATTAACTTCCTCTCTTTGTTTTAATTGCCAGAACTGGCCATTCAAGTGGTGAGCCTTTGAGAAAATCAAAAGCAAAATTATTAGAAAATATTAAATTTAATTTTGCATTGCATGAGCTGTTAATGTAGTATTATTTCCTTCTAAGTCAATAAATATTGTTTCATTATGGTTTACCTATTACAGCCACTCAATAAGCAATGATTCTGAAATAAGGATTGGTGTTTTTTTTGTTCCACAGGCCCTCCAGTTAATGTCACATGCAACATATTTATAAACAGCTTTGGATCCATTGCAGAGACAACCATGGTAAGGTATTTTACTTTAAATAAAGTTTAAAGTTCAAGTTAAATATGTTTAATATGCTAAAAAACTAGCTAGGGCTTTTATTCACTTGAAACTAACTATACCTCTGAGAACAGAAACTAAGAACATTGAATTTGGCAACTGATTTTTTCTAACAGATAATCCATCATTATACCATCAAACATACAAGTAAAACAAAGCCAGGGGTTGTTTGCTTGTTGTTTGTTTGGTTGTTGTTTTTTTAAATTTATCCCCTAAGTTTTATTTGACAGTTGTAATTAACTCTTTATTTGCAATTAGATTCTACACTGGTTTAGTTTCTACAGTATTCCACCTTTCTAACCTCAAAAATGTCAATTAAGTTGCTTAATTAAGAATATTTTATCATTTCATACAGTGTCTGCTGAGATGTATTTTATTTAATAATTCTTTCTTCCATAGAGCTGTTGTACATAGATAATACATAATAGAATAACTAAAACAGTGACCTGGTGTATGAAAGTTCACTATGAATTTTAAGAGTAGGGTAAATATAAGTGGATTGTACACTTTTTCTTCATATAATTTGTCTATTAAAGAAAGGCAGCAGATAGAGTACAAAAAGACTGGGGATTTTAAGGAAATTAGGAGAGAGTTCAAAATGTAAATATATTAAATCTAGATATTTAACTGTGAACTGGCAAAAATTACTTGGATAATCTTATTTCACAGGGAAAACATGCTAATAACTAGGAGCACAGATCTACTTATGAAAATTTGGTGAGAGAGAAGATAGAGGCATTCTTTGTCTATACAACTGCCTCATATATTTTGAAGAAAGGCGAATAAACACGATTGAAAACAGTTACACAGTATTGTGTGCACAGAGAGGCTTAAAATTTAGAGATATGAAGGTAGAACTGTGGGACTTTTAAAGACCCAAATACAGGAAATCTTCTGAAAACTAAGCAATTTCAGAAGTCAGGATATGTACTTGAAATAACAGAACACAGACTATAAATAACTGGTATAACAAAACAAACAAAAAAACCCAAACAAACAAAACAAAAACAAACCAAAGAGCAGCATACAAACATAAAAGGATAATACTAAGCAAAAGCCATCTTTATGAATTACCAGTAAGAGCAAGCAAACATGAGACCTTTCATTGTAGCTAAAGACCTATAGCCAGGAAACCAAGAACAGAAAATCTTAAAGTCAAATATCTATGCCCTCTGCTTCCAAAGTGATATTCACAACTGTGTGATCTTTACTCACCTTGGAACATAGTGGTTGTTTTTACTAAAAGAGGCAGATGTATTTTCCTTTCAGGTAGAAAATTAATTTGGTTTTGGGTGCTTTGCCAGATTGCAAATCCCAAACAGATTGACATATCATCCAAGGAGATTTATGCAGGTTTGATCAAAAGATTAAACAATGTCCACATGATTAAGATAGTGTTCCACAGATACTTTTTAATGGCTGTGTGAGGTTGTCAAGTCTCCTTCTCTGGAGACTTTCAAGACCCATCTGGATGCATTTCTGTGTGATCTGCTCTGGATACTGTGGTGGTCCTGCTCTGACAGGAGGGTTGGACTCTATGATCTCCAGAGGTCACTAACCCCTAACGTTGTGTGATTATGTGAAGATTAACATCTTCTGAAGAAACATTAAAATAATTCTATCATAAAATTACAATCAAAACCATCTTGAATTATCTTATAAACTGATTTTTTGTGTTGCTGACCAACAGTCAACTCACTGCTGTTCAGTATTTTACTAATTTCCACTATTTTGCCAAATTTATTTTCTGTCGTGCTTAAAATTTAGGTACCTATGTTTTAATATTTTTTCTATACATTTATGCATAAAATGACGCATTAGAACATTTTATTAGGCTCAAAAAAGCACTTCTATATTATTGATAAATACTTTTGTTCAGAACAGTAAAGAGATGAAGTAAGGAACACGTGCAAAATAAAACCTGACCATTCAGTGGTACCTTGAAATCCCACTGGTATTTAGAAAGACCACTTTATCAACGGGATAAGCATATAATCTATTAACTTCAAAGTAGTCCCAGTACATCAAGCTACGTTCCTCTCGGTCCTTGTAATCGCTCTTGGCGCAGTCTCCCTCCCCGTCTCTCTCTGGTGCTCTACTTCTCTCAACTGATGACCAAAATCTTGGAGCTCCCTCTGCTGCTTCGGTTATGTAACGACATAATACAGTAAAGACTTACAGACAAACAATGGGTTAAAAAAAACTCAGGATCGGCCACAAAATATCCTGGCACCAACTCTCTACTTCCGAACTTTGTAGTTTGTTCCATGAGCAGATTAATCCATGCAAATCCCTCTGTCAAACCTGCATTCTAAACAAGCAGCATCACATCACCCTCTACAGGTACATAATCTATTTTCCATATTTTATGGAAATTCTATAGGATGCAATGAAAGCGTGGTTGAAAAAGCACATTGCAATCTATAAAGCATATGAGTTAGCAAACAGCGCCATTTGCTTTCTGCTGAAATCTTTGGAGATAGAATGCAATCTTACCTAATAACAGTGTAGTTGTCTGAGAAAATTCAGTAAAAACAATAAGGTACTTGTTTTCAGGTCTCAAACCCTGCCATTTCTAGATACCCTTTCCAGGATTTAAGAAGAATTGAGACTTCCTTTATAAAAGGAAATTATTTCATGCAGTCAACATCTCTAGATTCACTGTGAAGTTATAATCTAGAAAAAGTGGCACTGTAATGATGAAAAGCTGCTTGAAATAGTTTGGGATATTTTTTATCTTTTAGATGAAAATACTCTCATGGAGGATCCAACTCAGTTGTTAGTGTTCATTTACAGTATTAACGGGAACTTCAAAGTGATATAAAAAATGAAAAGGACTATATTCTGTGCATGAACAAGACATAGAAAAGTTAGAGAGAGAGATAACAGAAAATCACCAGTCCTGGATCCAGCGTTGGGCCAGCCAAGGGGGAAGAGTTGGTGTCAGCGAGGCTTCCCTGTTTTATAGACCTAGCATGACTGAGTTGTGAACAGCTGGAGTGGACCTCCTTCTCTTTGTCCCTTGATTGTTGTTGTTATCTCAATTATTGTATATGCAGACCATCAAAGCTGTCTCCATCCTCTCAGACAAGCTTTTTGGGATGCAAACAAAGATTTATAATGGGGTTTAGACACAACTTCCACCATGTGTGTGTGGCTCCTGAGAGCCGACCCCTCACACAGGTGGAGACTGACAACAGGTTTTCTCGTTTCAAAGCAGGCTGTTCTCAGCTGACTCTATTTTTGTCATCTCTGAAGATGGGGTTCCATACCTACAAATGTAATTAATTGAAGAGACCTGCGTACAGTTTGTGGAAAAGCAAACTCTTTGTCATTGCTTAAATCCACAAATGTGTTTCTTAATAAACAACAGCAACAACAAAATGTCATATGTCAAATAAAATCTGCAAATTCTTTATCAAAAACAGCACACTCAGCACACTGTTTATAATGTCAGCTGTCACACAAAACATGGAAAATTCTCCAGTACCTCAGGCCCAGTACTGAAAGCTGAGTGGCTTTACCCACTCGCTGGAGCTGGGCATCTACAAAATCTTTCTTAAGCTACCACCAGATGCCTACATTATCTTCTACTTTGACATGTAATCCTGGGAGAAGTGTCAAATCAGGTATACAACTATCTGTACCAGTATCAGGTCCCAATTCTGTAAAACTTTTAGAGCAGGTCAGTCAGAGATTGCTTCATAAATCTAGGGGACAGGCAGCAGCGGTAGTTTTACACTTACATGCTGGGCAATGTTTTCTTAAGTTCTTTACTTACAATAAGAGAAACCTACCATCTTGTCTTAGACAGATGTTCTATCACTTGACTCCACCCAGGAGGAGGAACTGGGAAAAAGAAAGGAGACTTGTGGTTTGCAGTGAAAACAGATGTAACATAATAATAATAATTAATATTAACCCCAATAATAATATAAGAGACAAAGTTATACTTAGCTCCAGCTGATAGTTGTGAAGTGTGCTCTCCTAGCAGTGAATGCCGAATACCCACACTTCCAGTATGTGGAAACACAATGTTCACAGCAAGTGGAGGTGAAGGCTTCAGCTGTGAGATGACAGACAAGACCCTTTTGGAAAGGCAGCCATAGTAGAAGCCCCCAAATATCTCCACAAACTTCCCTATTTATAGTGAGTGTGAAGTTAATTGTATTAATTATTTGAGTTGACAAGCTTGGGCCAGCAGTCCTGGGTTTCACTCTTTGAACCCCACTGCACCTGCATGGTTCAAAACTACCTGCAATCTTGGTCACTACAGAAACCCACATACCAGAGCAACCTCTCAAAACTACAGATTCTCTGAAAACTTATTTTACAGTTCTGTCCCAGTAAAACCAGGAGACCTAGCTTCAGAGATTTTTACCTCATTTGAAGAAAAGACTGAATCCAGGCCTGCACTTGCCTTAGTTCTCTAAACCTAGAAGTGATTTTTCCATTTTATCTACAATAGATAGTTATCAGGATAGATGCTACAATTAGCTCTGCCAAACATACTGTTGTTGGCCCAAAAGCAGGGTCCATTACCTGGTCTGCAAGAAGCCCATCTACAGACATAGACAAGATCTTTACTTTAGTATCCAGTCCTGTACAGAAAAGGGAGCAGGGTGGTATTCCACAAAGCAAGTTCAGTTTCAGGAAACACAAGTGCTACTTTTATACCCAAAAAACATAAGAACTTTAACATTATTCTATCACTCACACACACAGTAAGCCAACTGATTGAAAGTTAACAACATATGAAAGTTAATTTATTAGCATAACAGGATTATTAAAGATGATTTCTAGTCTGCTTTCCATCTACAAACTTGGTGTGCTACAATATGTGGGATCTCTCACAATCTTCTTTTTAGTTGCTCTGTCTTCTTTTGTAGATTTAAATTGAATGAGGGTTTAGCTATTTCACTCCTAGTAGGATTGAAGAGATAGAATATTGAACATTTAAT